TCAAGACCAATTTATCGCCTTTGGTCCTTCGATAGCGTTTAATATCGATTCCTCCTTGGCCAACCAACATGATTAATTTTAAAAATAACACTAATAACATCTTCTAATTGAAATCTTTTTGTTAAGTGAAACTATAGCAAGATAGGAAATTCTATGTTTTTATGCATATATCATAGGTCCAAAACTCCATCAAGTTGTTACACTTGAAGTCAGTTTTCTTAGTTAAGGCAGCTTAATAAAAAAAATGTAATCGAATCATTTCCGTACTTTTTCTACACACCTTTCATAACTAAATAAGGTTTTTAGTTGAGATAAAAAAAGTCAGTGTCACGAGCAGGATTCGAACCCATGAGGAGGGAAAATTCAAAAAAAGGTGGGGTTGAGATGGGAAGTTAGTGTCCGAGTGGCTTGAGTTCATGATAGCTCAAGTGGTAGTCGAGCAGCGGCGTAACTATCCAAAGATCGTGGGTTCGAATCCCGCTGTTGACACTGACTTTTTTATCTTAACCAATACTTTTCATAAATATTAATTAATTGAAATATGTTAATTGGTCAATCGGACCACGAACTGTAATGGATCTAATTATTACACTAAGTTCTCACCTCTAGGCAAAACGGAATAGTCACTAATGCCATAGACTTCACGGTGTGGTATTTGTCTCGGCATTTCGTGAACATAAATTAAATTTTAACAACTGACCAATTTGACGTCGTTGGTCATATGCAATCCATTTTTTATAACAAGTTGTTATTTTATTGTGAATATGCTTGGTTCTTACGATTATTTAAAAGAAACTCGACTTTACAGAAATCAGACAGACCCGCACTAGACAATCGACAGAAAAATCTCACAATAAATTTTCTGAAAATATGAAGAATAACGTCCATAGCTATGTTTATAGCTCATTGAACCCAAGTGAGTTTCTTCGTACGATAAACCGGAAATTATTATGTTATATAAAAAAATCAAACTATCCTTTTTGAAAGATTTTACCTTTTTTCTGTCAATATTTCAACAATCTTAATTTTTTTTTTGCTATCGTAGGAGAGAATTTAAGATTGTTGAAATATTGACAGAAAAAAGGTAAAATCTTTTACAAAGCATTGTTTGATTTTTTATATAACGTATTAATTTCCGGTTTATCGTACGAAAAAACTCACTTGGGTTCAATGAGCTATAAACATAGCAATGGACTGTTATTCATCATATTTTCCGAAAATTTGGTTTTTTCTTTACATTTAATGTAAAATATCCTACAGTCGATTAAACGCCTTGTTTGAACAATGAAAGTATCAAAATGAATCAATAATCACCAGTTGCTCTGATGACCTTTTTCATGTAATAGTCATAAAAGAAAAGGGTGGAAAAATCTACTATACTCTATGGAATGACAACATTAGGGATTTTTTTCAATTTTGTCTCGGTTTAGTGTATTCGGCTTGTCCGTAAAACGTGTAAGCTTTTGATAGAATCTGGCACCCGGGGATGCTTTATAACCTTAAACGCTTCATACTCCTTATCCTCCTTCAGAGAGGAGTGAGGCAACGAGTTCTTGGAAGTCAAACAGATACAAGCCGGTGTCCCACAAGGGGGCCTTGTTGGTCCCATTCTTTATACCATTTCGCTCACCTACCTATACATCCTAATACGCTATTGCAATTTCGTCCTCTAATTCGAATCCTATCCAAGCTACCTCCAAAATCCAGGTTGAGGACAAGACTAAATGAAGAGTAATTGACAAACCAGTCTTTCCCTTAACTGTACACCGACAAAGAGGTTCGATTTCCATTCAAATCAAGTATTTAGGACAATGCCTGTCCAGCCCACACAAGATTTAAGAGACAGCAAACAGAAGACTTGGAAACTACGAAGACTTCTACGACCGTGAACATTAAACAATTGGAATAATCGAAAAAAAGTTGTGAAAAATTGAAACGGCCTGAAAAATGAAATATCTCGAATACAAAGAATCAGACTTTGGACAACGAGGACTTTTTAGTCCAATTCGACCTCCTGAAGTATTGACGTCGGTTCACTGGACACCGTACATACGAACCTTTTGCCAATTTATGATCCTACCTAAACTTCGAAACTATAAATTATTCTATTACACTTATTTTATTATACTACATAAATAAAAAAACAAATCTGGGTATATAACGATATATAAAAACCTTAAATGACATGCTCGAAAATGGCAGAAAAATATATTTTTTTAAAATGGCCAATTGGCAAGAAAATTCAGGTATCTCTATTTTACGACATGATATCATATCATCAAAAAAATCGCTGATCTTGCGTATTTAGCATCCCCTTGTTATTTATGAATATATTATTTTTTGCAGTATTTCTTCTAGCATTTCTTGCATTGGTAAACCTTGCATAAATACAAGGGACATTATTTTAAGGATCGCTTTTCACCCATACTTATTTTTGTAATTTTTTCGTCAAATTGTCCTATCTTCACCGTTTGCACTGTATTTTAAGTGTTTTAACGGATGAGAAAACCTTCGGCCAAACGCATGATTAATTGACGTTAATTCCATCAGAGTTGAGGCATGGTGAAACTTGAACGTTGATAGGCGTAAAACTTCTTACACTGCTGTCAACTGTAATTGCACAGGAAGACGACCGTGTTTCAGTAGTATCGGGTTTGTTCGTTAGCTTCAAACTGTTAACACGTGTAATCAAGTTAATTTTAATTATGCTTTAGTTCATCAAAGTAGGTATTTTCGATTAAAAACTACTTAGAAACAAATGGCTTCTGTTTCAAGAATATATGTGTCATAATAAGTTCAGTCTGTTGTTAAGTTGTGAAGGTGAACTTACCTCATATTTAGCAAATATTTTTTGACATTTTGTATAATACAATGTATTTCCTTCAGTAAATACCTTTCAAAAATATATTAACGTCACATGGTTTATTCGTCAAACTAACTAGATTTAGTGTTAGGTTAGAGTCTGGTAGGTAGGGTCAGTTTTAGGATTCGGTTAGGGTTTGATTAGCTAGAGATAATTTTAGGTTAGGGCTAGATCAGAATTAAGCGGGGAACACAATTACCCGATGCAACGCTAAGCTACGCTACCCGATGCTACCCGACGCAATTTCACGTTTTGGTAGGATGTGCGCATCTATGCGACGTCAAGCGCACGTGGATGCAGTCACACAGCGTGTATCACAATAATCATTATCACAATTGCAACTCCTCTTTTGTTCTTAATGCACTATTTTGAGCAAAACCTTGTAATAAATTGTTAGTTAAATTGTATGAGCACTACCATGTAATAAATTGTTTATTAATATAATTATATTAAATAAAGTTATTCCGGTGTTTTGATAAATTTTCTACCAAACCATTAAATTTTTAAAAAAATAAAAACTAATGAATTTTTGATCTCGGTTAATTTGGTTTATATAAAAATAAGTTTGTTGTAATTCATATAATGACAATAGTACATGTAGTTTGAATAAAAATATGAGTGTCCGGTTCTTTTGTCTTCGACTGTTCTCGATGCTACCAGACGAAAATCTGGACAGTGGGGTAGCTTTGCGTGGCATCCGGTAAGTGTGTTCCCCGCTTTAGGTTCCGGCTAAAGCCAGAAACACACTTACCCGATGCTACGCCATGCGACGCTAGCCGATGCTACCCGACGCAAATCAAAACTCCGATTTTCCATAAGGTTGCATTACTCCCGTGCACATCTACCCGATGCTATGCCACGCTAACCTACCCGACGCTCTGCGATCCCCACTGCCCAGATTTTCGTCTGCTAGCATCGAGTACAGTCGAAGACAAAAGAACCGGACACTCATATTTTTATTCAAACTACATGTATTATTGTTGTTATATTAATACCTATTTTAATATAAACCAAATTAACTGTGATTAAAAATTAATTAGTTTTTATTTAAAAAATTAATTTTAATGGTTTGGTAGAAAATTAATCAAAACACCGGAATACGATTTTTTGATATAATGAATTTAACTAACAATTTATTGTACTCGCTTCGGCGGTACATATACTAAAATTGGAACAATTTATTACACGGTTTTGCTCATAAAATTTAATTAACAATTTATTTCATAGTTTTGCTCGTAAAATTACACCATTTTGTAATGTCGGGTAGCATCAGAACAGGACACTCATATTTTTTGTAGTTTATTTCAAACTAAGTACATGTAATTTTGTCGTTATATTAATTACAACATGTTATTTTAATGTAAACCAAATTAAACGAGATAAAAAATGCATAAGTTTTTATAAACATTGTTTAATTATGATGGTTAGGAGTAACTTTATTTAAAACAATTAAGTTTAACAAACAATTTATTAGATGGTTGTGCTCATAAAATTTAACTAACAATTTATTACAAGGTTTTGCTCAAAATAGTGCATTAAGAACAAAAGATGCGTTGCGATTGTGATAGTGATTATTGTGATAAACGCTGTGGACTTTACGCGACGTGTGCTTGCGTCGGATAGCATCGGGCAGCGTCGCATGGTGTAGCATCGGGTAAGTGTGTCCCTGGCTTGAGGTACGGATTTGGTTAACTAGGGTTAGTGTCAGCTTAGGGTTTGGTTATTTTTGAGGTTAGGAGTAGGGACCGTTTTGGTAAGGCTAGTGTTATGTTAAGATGAGGTTACATATCCTTGATTCAAGGTTTTTCTGGAGAGAACCACAGAGCGTATGGACGTGTGAAGAGAGAGTTTTATATATGAAGATTCCCAATAAAAAAAAAGTTCAGTGGGGCTTGAAAGCGTGACCCAGGTAGAGTGCTGGGGATTATTTGCTATGTCTCTGCAGTACGTTTATCTGCAGCCAATTGGCGAACCAAATTATCCAAATTTATTTCTCATCCCTCTACATTTCCAATTTTTTTCATTCTTTCAACGGATTTATTTTCCTTAATTTCATAGAATTCACGGTAATTGGTTTATAAGATTGTTAAACAATGTTTTTCATGGCTACCTTGAATATGTAAAACAATACACAAACCTTCTTGCGGAACCTGCTTTGTTTGAATCCCTGTTAAAAACCGTATGGTTGTTTTCGTACCCAAGAACCTTTTGAGATAGAAGTTTCGGAAAGACAATATGTCGTTCGTACCTGTAACAATATAAATCTTTTTGAAACATGGGACTATTAATCTCTTAAAAATAATTGTTATTCTGTGTTAATATTTAATTGACAAAAAAACACAATCAACATGACAATAGTCAATTCGAACATCCACCGGAAAATTCCTTTTCTGAAAATCCCACTGAAATAGTGAACTATTTTTGGTGTTATTTATTTAAGTTTAATTTTTTATTGAATTTTTCTGTTGAGTTGGCATTTATACTGACCTATAAACATCATTGTAGCTATTTCCACAAACGAATGCACCTCTAAGATTAGAATGAGCATGAATGTCCAAAACAACGTCTAAATCGATGTTCTGTAAAAAAAATGTTTCAATTGTCGTTGAACAGTAAAACAATAAATTCACATTAAATTAAAAGTAACGTTAATTATTTATTGGTCTTTATACGAGTAGAAGGATTTAGAACGAATTTTGCTAAGAAATAAAGTCTTAATAAAATCCATCATATTTCGTGGTCCGATCAACCAAATAACTTCGTTTAATTAATTACTCTTTTTATGTATGGTATGGGTTGAAATGAAAAAGTTAGTGTCACGAACTGGATTCGAACCCACGACCTTCGGCTAAATACGCCGCTGCTCTACCACTTGAGCTATCGTGACTTCGATCCACTCGGACACTAACTTCCCACCTCAACCTCACCTCTCGAATTTTCCCTCCTTTTTGCCATTTTTCAAATCTCAAATTTTTTATCTCGACGTTCGAATCCCGCTCGAGAGACTAACGTTTTCATTTAAACCTTACATAAAAAGATTAATTAATTGAAAGTCATAATAAAAGTTTCAATCCTCAGGTCTTATCTGTCAGAGCGGTTTTTTTCGCGTACGACATGGATTAAACTCTACTGTCGGAGGAATACGGTTTTGTTAACAATAAATTTTAAAATAACTTGTATAAATCTCAACAAGTGAATGAGGAAGCTTGAAAATTGTTTTATGACAGTCAATTGAAAAAATAAATCCTTGTGTTGTATATCAACTTCAAAGGTCCAACCGGAAAAATAACTGAGTTAGCAAATAAAGCAAAACGCTTACTTTGTCCTGATCCAACGATGTGATATACGAATAAACAACGTCCAGCGTAGGATGAAGCCATTTGGATATTTTTGACCAGGATCGGTTCAAATCTATCCCCACCTCGGAGCACCTGGAAGAAAATTGTTCGCGTTAGTTGTTTTGTTTTCAAAATCGGCCAAAAAAAAAACTTTTAGAACAATAAAACTAAAAGCCTACCTGTGGTTTCCTAAAAAAACCCCATCGGGGTTTAACATGGGAATAATTTTGAAAACGACCTTTTCCCTCAGGCTAACTGCCGTGTTGTGATTGCTTATTAGAAAGTCGATAATCCCTGAAATGTAAATTAAATGTGAGTCATAAGATGTGGGTGTTAACTATTGATTATGGAATGGAGTGAATAACGAGGAAGGGTTGGAAAATAATTTATATTTTAAGTTATCCTAAATTACTCAGTTTGAACGATTTTTGAAGTTTGGATGTTTAATGATATCAAATAAAAATTTTATGTTTGTGATAAAGAGTTTTATAAAACATTAAACTCCCACAGAATTCCAGTTGTTTAATAAGCGATGATAATTTTCTTGTTTGATATTTTATAAAATATCAATAATAAATATAAGGTAAATAAAGTAATTTAAGGTGGGCGTTATCTATAAACAATTCATATTAATTTTTACCCTTCATTATGTATAAAAAAGAACATGTGGTTAAATGTGCAAGTTTATACAGATTATGGAAGCAGCGACTTTTTTTGGCGGACTTTTGTTCTTATTTAACTCGACTTCTAATCATTGGAACTTAATTGTTAATTAATTTTTTTCAGGGGAGTCTGTTTGGGTAAACCTTAAACTCTAAACTTTTACTGTATTTATTAGATAAGGCTTTAATTCACCCAAAATAATACAATACAAGGATTGCTTTTCAAGTGAATTAAGGCTCAAAGTGGTCCAGGGAGACAGGTTATCCACTTTAATATTCTCTCTATAAGCGTGCAAAGTTACTTTCTTTCGGTGTCATGGTGCTAAGCCCTCGATTAAATGATAATTATTTACTTTTTCAGGATGAAAGCCCAATTTACTAAAATACGTAACATATGGATAAACTATAAAATTATCTTTCAATTGATTAATCAGTATTTAAGGTATTTCTTGAGATAAAAAAAGTCAGGGATTCGATTTCATTTATCGCCGAGAATGAAATAAATTACACGACATTTGAAAAATGGCAAAAAGAAGGAAAAATTCGAAAGGTTGTAGGTTAGATGAGGAGTTGGTGTCCGAGTGGATCGAAGTCAGGATAGCTCAAGTGGTAGAGCAGCGGCGTATTTAGCCGAAGGTCGTGAGTTCGAATCCCGCTTGTGACACTGACTTTTTTATCTCAACTAATACTTAAATACAGATTAATTAATTAAAAGATATTGTTTGGTCAAGCGGACCACGAAAGCTAGTGAATCTATAAAATTATATCTCTCAAGATCTCCAAATAATTTTCAAATTATACATAAAAATAATTAAAATATTGGAAACATAAAATGTCATATATTAAATGGTTAAATAAAATTAAATATATATTTAGTGGTCTTATTGACCAAATTACTTTTTTCAATTAATTATTCTTTGTGTGTAAAGTATTGGTTGAAATGAAAAAGCTAGTGTCTCGAGCGGGATTCGAACCCACGACCTTCGGCGCAATACGCCGCTGCTCTAACCACGTGAGCTATCGTCAGACTTCGATCCACTCGGACACCAACTCCCCATGTCAACCTAACTTCCGAATTTTTGATCGGGGTTCGAAGTCACGATAGCTCACGTGGTTAGAACAGCTGCTTAGTGAGCCGAAAGTCGTGGGTTCGAATCCCGTTCGTGACACTAGCTTTTTCATTTCAACCAAGACGTTACATACAAAGAATAATTAAATTAAATATGTAAAAGGGCAAATTAATTTACAATATTATAAATCATTTCAACTTAACTTTTTTACGATGTTTTTTAGGATCGGAGATGTGATCCAATTAAAGTTTATTGGTACATCTCTGCCAAGCTTTCGACTCTTCATTCGGCTTATTTTTATGTTTACTTATTTTTATATTTTATACATTTTTTAGGCAATGATAAATCTGTATCTAGTATATTTCCTGTGGAGTTAGTGGAGCAGTGAGGGATATCGAATAATGATAAATTACGAGTTTTTTATTTAGGGACATTGAACCATATAGGAAAGTAGTCGAAGACTTGAGATCAAGTTATTTAATAATTTATAAAGAAAATCACAGTCAAACCTAGTTATTTTTCCCAACCAGACATGAGATCGTAGTTACAATTAAAATTGTGGTTCAAAAACCTGTACTAGTACTTAAAAAAACGGTGTTGAACCGTTTCGATACTGTTGATTTGTGAGGAGTAGTGAAAAACGAGACAATAGATACAAAATCAGACAATGGTCGAACGAAAGAGGTAAAGCGTAGATTCAATATTGTTATATTTTCAAAAGATTTTGAATAACAAAAACCAAAGTGCTTTTACAGCTTTAGAGGAAATTTTTAGATATATGGCATCTGAAAGATAATTTATAGTCAAAATGAATTCTTAAATCTTTAATTATATCAGCTTTGGTAAAGGTTCATTATAAGTAGAGTAGATGAAGTTTATTCAGTAGATCTGGTGATTAATTCTAGGAAAGGAAATTTGACTGCATTTAGAGATACTAAGCGGAAGTTCATTCAAAGAGCACCTCACAGTACAGGGAAGTAAGGTTCTCCTCAAGTATGACAAATTTCAAATCTTGATTTAATGGTCTTAATAAAGAGAAATAATAATGAGAAAAAGCAGTTGAAATGTCGTTAATAAAGAAAAGAAAAGAATAGACCAAGATGTGATCCTTGAGGTACACCTGAAGAAGCATGAAAATTAGAAGATTTTGCTTAATAGTAACAATTCTATCTAAATCAAATCTAACATCGCAGCACCAACGGTATTACTACTAAACCGAGGATGTCTTAGGACTAGAATGATAATAATTATGATAATGAAGACTCCGAAGGCATATGTATTAACTCGGAACATCAAAAACAAGCCAGTTCATTGCCGGATATTGCCAGAAAGAAGATTGGCTGTGATTGATTCTTCATGGGAGAGGAAAAGACAAGGCCTCAGGATAGACACGGGAGCTTTTGTACATAATGTCCAGTAGCGTTTTGAGAAGTTTATATCGTCAGTTCAGCTTTATTATTTAAGTTGAGTGTGGAGGTTCTAAGTAAGTGTTTTGTCGATGAAGTTTCAAATAGCAGACCACATTCCTTGCTGTCAGAGAACTTGAGTTGTAGTCGATTGGAGGACAGTTGATACGACGAAAGGGTGAAAGTAATTCTTGCATTTGGTTTCATTAAGTGATCTTCTTTGTTTGAAACATTCTTCAAACGGAATATATGATCCTGGAGGTTTCTGGAAGCTACTACTTGGTCCCAGTGCGCCGAAAGAATAGCAGTATCATCTGCATATGCGAGGAGTACTCTATCGTGATCGATAGTCTGCGGTGTGTAATCAAGAAAGAGTGAAACCGAGGATGTTACTTTTCGCAACATCCGTCAGAGTGAATAGAGGAGAAGGATGTCCCGAGTAATACTTGAAAGTACCTATCGGACAGATAAGACTAAATTTTTATTAAAACTGTTATACTAAATTTTAGAATAAGGTAGTGGAAGGATGCCAACGAGCTTGCCTGGGTCCCACTCTCAATCGAAGTTTTACCTAAGTTCTAGGAAATCACCTCAAGGGCTTATAAAACGTCCTGTTGTCCTGTTCAGTGGTAGTGATCTCGCCGGAACTTGAACACACTCTTTCGTTCATATTGATTCTTGCGGTAAAAAGATAGCAGGAGCTTTTAAACCAAATGTGTTCGAGTGAGAAGAGGTGACTGTGTTTGGAGAATTTCATCGGAGTGTATATTGAAAAGAGGATGGGGCCAAGTATGCTGCCTTAAGGGACACCCGCGTCGTCATGGTTGAATGTCCCGAATGCTACTTTTTACATTTTAGGATAACGTTTTGGAAGGATGGCCTTGAGTTTCCAGAGCATGCCAGGGTCCCACACTCTAGTGAAGTTTTGCCGAAAATTTAGGAAACCACCCCAACAACTTCCGCTCAAGGGAGGTTGCAACGTCCACTACCCTGTGGCCGGGTTCAATGGTAATGATCTCGCCGAAACATGAACATAATTTATTTCGTTCACATTTATTCTTGCGGTAAGAAGTAGGAAATGGAATGTCAATGTATATTGGAAAAAGGATCGAGGCATGGATGCGTCCTTGACAGACTATCTACAGGCTATCTTTAGAAACTTTTATCCGACCAAAATCGATGTTTTTCTAGAGATTGTCTTAAAATATGAAACTATTAAATTGCATTTAAAGAAAAAACAATGTGTTGAAACAGAAGATAAGGAAAATAGTCTACATACCTTGGCATACATAAGAAGCGGGCGATTCTCCTGGATGAACTCTCGACAGGATGACAACAACGTGAACTTTTCCGTTCGGAGACATGTTCTTGGGATGCGTGATCGTTACCAATTCTACGCGTCTCTTTTGCTGGCATAATAATGTAATAAACATTTCAATATTAGAAATTAAACAAATATTCTTAGTTAGAGAACTTACAATGGATTGACCGAGTAGTTCTCTTTTGAAAAACGGATAATTCCTCTTTTCCAATAGGTCCATGTGAGCCTGGTGTTTTGTGTAGGAATACGGATAACAAAACGCGAACTGGTAGACGTCTTCCTCTTTATCAAAATTAAACGCAAGGCTGAGGATGTAGTTATTGTTGTGATAAGGCGAACTGTGGTAAAAGACGTTGTCGTTCGGCATCCTCTGCCTAGGAAATTTGACACAATATCTTGATATATCCAGGTATATAAATAAATGAACAGACTGATGAAATAATATTAGAAAACGTTTACCAAGTCGGCCTACTTGTTGACTTAACAATCGGGGTCATCCCGTACAAGAATGAATTTCTCCTTTTCCCGAAATTAATTATGTTAAGAATCACCCTCTGAAACAAGAAAAACGATTAATTTAAACTATTAATATATTACTTCGTGTTTAAAAGAGAGGAAGCTTGGCTTTTTTGATCAGATAAATATTTAAACATGCTGCTGGCCACCCACTCGGGGACGCTTATTTAAGTTCTAAGTTTAAAGTATGAGTTTCCTTCGTGAATTTGAAATTACCTTGTTAAGCGTTAAAAGTACTGGAATTTTCACCTTGAGTAAGTAAAAGTTGAACGTGAACTTTATAAAAGTGTTTTGAAAAATAACGACCAGTGTTATATTTCCATACTTGAACAGGCCGAAGAGATTAACATTAAGATAATTTTATCCAGCGAATATTTCAATCTAAAAAAAAAATATTTCTAGTTTCTGTACCACTCCAAATGTTGTCGTTCTGTAAAAGGTTTTCTTATCCACATCACCATAGAATTCACGCTAATTTGTTTACAAGACTTTAAAAAAAATCAGTAATTTTTGACTTCTTTCTTTAGGGATGATAGTGCCCGGTGCATTGGGCGGGCAGGACAGAAGAGCCAGATGTATATACACTACACTGCCAACAACACTGGAGTAGAATTCTCAGAAGAATTCTAATTCCAAAACAATAAGATAATATATAACTAATTCGATATAAAATGAAATTCAAGGCCAATCTGAGGTGGATATTGAAAATTTTAAAGCCAATCTCCAGTTAGTTCAGCAGCCGTTACGATTCCTCTTCGGGCTTTAACATTACAAGTTTCTATCTTTATAGTACATCTATTTCAAAGTTATCAGTTGATTCGGTTGCTTCCAGATTAGAATAAGAAAATTTTCCATATTATTTGATTTAATTAAATGTGATTAGATACATAAAATGTCACAAAAACAAAAAGACGCTTTCTGTGTAATAGGTCAAAAAATATTTTTGTTAGAATAAACAACACGGATTCATTTTAAGCAGCCTTTAAAGCTTAAATTAATAAGCCTTAAATACGAATTTTAATAGAAAACAAATAATACAACTTTTTGTGCTGGATTTGCTCCGATGTCTGGTGTTGTTCGACTTAAACCTTCTTTGGATTGTATCGAAATCTTACAATATTACAACCTTTCAAAAGAGTAATTCTTCGTTTTACAGGATATGATATGCACAATTTAAGTTTTGTGTCAATATAAGTTAGAAAAATAAGGATGAATTAATTAATCGTCCAAACGCTTGCAAAATTTCTGGTTGATTAGTGCAGTCGTTTCAAAGCTACCTGCCTTTTTGTGATTTTCGAAAAAATTTATAAGACTTCCCCCCCCAAAAAAAATGTATTGAGGATTTTTTACAATTTGTTTAACAGCATAGGATAAGAAAATATTACGCAAGCTCCTATTAAAGAAGATTAGATGTAAAGCTTTTAGGTATAATTTGAAAATTATTTGGAGATCTTGAGAGATATAATTTTATAGATTCACTAGCTTTCGTGGTCCGCTTGACCAAACAATATCTTTTAATTAATTAATCTGTATTTAAGTATTAGTTGAGATAAAAAAAGTCAGTGTCACAAGCGGGATTCGAACTCACGATCTTCGGCTAAATACGCCGCTGCTCTACCACTTGAGCTATCCTGACTTCGATCCACTCGGACACCAACTCCTCATCTAACCTACAACCTTTCGAATTTTTCCTTCTTTTTGCCATTTTTCAAATGTCGTGTAATTTATTTGATTCTCGGCGATAAATGAAATCGAATCCCTGACTTTTTTTATCTCAAGCAATACCTTAAATACTGATTAATCAATTGAAAGATAATTTTATAGTTTATCCATATGTTACGTATTTTAGTAAATTGGGCTTTCATCCTGAAAAAGTAAATAATTACCATTTAATCGAGGGCTTAGCACCATGACACCGAAAGAAAGTAACTTTGCACGCTTATAGAGAGAATATTAAAGTGGATAACCTGTCTCCCTGGACCACTTTGAGCCTTAATTCACTTGAAAAGCAATCCTTGTATTGTATTATTTTGGGTGAATTAAAGCCTTATCTAATAAATACAGTAAAAGTTTATAGTTTAAGGTTTACCCAAACAGTGCAGACTCCCCTGAAAAAAATTAATTAACAATTAAGTTCCAATGATTAGAAGTCGAGTTAAATAAGAGCAAAAGATCGGCAAAAAAAGCCGCTGCTTCCATAATCTGTATAAACTTGCACATTTAACCACATGTTCTTTTTTACACATAATGAAAGGTCAAAATTAATATGATTTTTTTTATAGATAACGCCCACCTTAAATTACTTTATTTACTTTCTATTTTATAAAATATCACCCATCTACCTCAGTACTGGTGACTCGACCGAAGAAAAATGTCTATTTTTTGTTTGCTATAAAAACTTTTATTTAAAGTCGTGACAGGATACCTATACTTTATAAGAAGCGTCTTTCGGTGTTTTAATCTTGTTGTACAATGGACGCCGCTTATAAGACTCACGGATAAAAGGTTCAGTCGCTGATAAGACTCAGAATCGCCAGAAACAGTCCGGACGTGTCCGAATAGATTGAACAATTCGGTTATAAAACACACCACTTCGGATATAAGACTCAGTTTGCACCGCTCACAATGTAAATTTGAATTTGAAGACTAGTTTTACTAGATAAATTAGTTTTCTTACCTGCTAACACTAACTACGTCACTGATGCAGCCGTGTGACCAAGGAATCGAACCTTTAAAGCATATTACAGGTCAAAAATGAGAAAAACCCTTATCGTTCTTATTGACAAAACCTTAGAATCTCAATCAACTTCATCTTCAAATTCGACTTTGAAAGCTAACGACCACGCCAAGAAAATCAACATTCTCGAGGCTTTACACCCGGCGAACGAAGCGTGGAATAACGTTAGTTGAAGTGACCGTTGGAAACTTTTGTTTTTAAATTTTAATATATTTTGTTATAATTGGGTGATTAATTATCCGATTCAAGAATTTAATATTTTCGGATGTGTAATGGACACGTCTCTATGAATAAATGAGACCACTATCGCTGGTTTCCCGTTAAGCAATAATGGATCCCAAATCAATTATTTAAGGCTGTTAACCAGGTTGGCTAAGCCAAAACAGCTCCTGGTAATCTTATATTTAATTAAATAGTACGAGCAAATCCTTGGTTGGGAATCAGATATTCTCGTTTCACACCGGGCCTCACGGGTAGTTTCCCATTATTTTCCGTTAGAGAGCTCCATTTATCACAATGTTATAAAAACAACGCCCTTTATTAACATCTGTGCTATAATTTAAATTTCACTACTAAATTTTCAAGCTTGAAAGCTCGGTCCCATTTTCTATTCAGTATACACTACAGATTATCAATGTTACCGTCTCCTCATATATGCAGACGATACCGCCAACCTTTCTGCAAACCAAGACCCACTTGTCAGCACCCTCCAAGACAATCTGATCTGTTTCAAAAAATGTTCAAGAAATCGAAACTCGGAAACTCAACGAAACCAAATCTCAGGAAATAATTGTAGTAACCTATCTTCCAATTTACTCTGTTCCTCCTCCAGAAACCAATGCCCTGAAATATGCGGTGATTAGTGACCGTTTATCGATATTTATTTAGAAATCGTGAGATGCGGTCTGGTGTGATGTAGGTTTCAGAAAAACATTTTCTTTATCGTGCCAACGTTTCGACAATTTTACAAACAACTATTTGGTGTAGCCATGGGTAGCAACCTAGGCCCGATACTGGCAGACATAATCATGACACATCTACTAAATACAGTCAAACCACAAATTCCTTTCACATTACCCTTCCTCACTAAATACGTAGATGATATATTGACAGCTGTTCCCACAGATCAAATTCAAACTACATTAGATACATTTAATAGCTTTCACCAGGGGGCGCCGGTGGCCGCAAGGTTTAGTCTTTGACACGGCGCTCATCACTGTAAGGTAAAAGGTCCCGGGTTCGAATCCAGCGGCCCTACATTCGAATCCGACATACTTACAAATGGGCTTTTTTTGAAAAATACCGGCACCCTGAGGGTTTATATGACCTCTGCTGTTGCGAACCCTCGTAAAAAAAANGCACTCTTGACACGACACGCAAGAATGGCACAATTACACAGAAGACAAACACTTTGAGTGAGCAGAAATACTTTGATTGAAGATAAAAAATATATTTTGCATTGTATAAATTCACTTTTCCACATCCAAAATGTAATTGTAATATGTAAACAATGTTTGTAAATCCCAGGCCCTGAAGATGATCTCAATAAAGATCGAAACGTTGGCACGATAAAGAAAATGTTTTTCTGAAACCTAGATTACACCAGACCGCATCTCACGAGCCCTGAAATATCTTGGGTCCTTCCAAAAATTCAGTATCTGCCTACATCATATTGCCCCGTAACGTTGAAAATTTTGAACAAAAATTCCCGAAATGCCAATATATTATCTTCGAAAACTCGTGTCATTATGTTATTGATTCGGTTTCAGGCGAATCACTCTACCATCTTGTGGGACTGGTGGACATCATTCTTGAGTTGACGAAATCCTACAGCTCCAGTGCTCTGGAAACCCAAGGGCAACGTTCCATTAAATTATTACTTCATCTTAAAATCCTAGTCTGGTAGACAATTTTAAGTACAATCGGAATATCTTTCTACCCTAATCACTATGCCGAAGTGTGACGCAATGGCAGTGTCGTTGGTCTCAACTCTGTTTCAATGTACGGTTCAAAAATTCTTATCAATCCCGATCAGTACGTCACTTATATTCAGATCAAACCGCCATCACTTCAGCAAACTCAGACAGAGTAGTGATAGTCAGAAAACCTCCACCATCAACTCTTCTTTTATGAAGAATATTTGCAACAAGTACTCCGATCTCCAGACTACCTTCCTTTCATCAATACCACTAGTGACTTTCAGACAACTGCAGGACCATTTCTCCAGTTTGGAAGAATGTTTGAAAATAGGAGGATTGACTAAACGAAATCGCACCAAATAACCGAACCCGTATTTTCTCC